AGACACCAGGTTAAGAACCTTTGGTTTAGACAAAATGTAGGGTGGTCATTGGTGAGAATTCTGATTATTTTCAATGCTTTCCTCCTCCTTTTTGGTCAATGTATACATTTTCTCCCTTGGTTCTGACTGCTTCACTCTGCTTCAGTCAATACAAGTTTTCCTTAATTTCTCTGAATTTCCAATATGTTTTCAGGGTGAGTATGAACTGTGTGAAAGAGAATGGGTAAGAGAAGGGCATTGTACTAGAGTGGAAAGGGGCCTAGACTAGTAGTTAGGAGACCTGGATTCTTTTCTTGATTTGTTATTGTGTGACCTTGGACAAGTGTCTTTCACTTTGCTGCGTGATTGTTCTATTTCCTGATTTGTAAAATGTGAAAATTGGGCTGGATAAGTACTGATGTCCTTTCTTGCTTTAAAAAAGTCGATTCAAGGCTAGTTTGAACTGACATGAATTCCAGAGGTAGAGTGAGAGTGGGACATTTGTACTCCCATCCTTCCCAGCTTTTCTAATGCTAGATGTCACTTTTCTTCTTTTTAAACACTCACTGGCCACTTTGGACAAAAAGTTTAGTTAAAAATGAAGAATGAATGAAGAAATCTGATCTCTCTTAAATGTGCCATTTCCATTCCCAGAATTACCATTTTGTTGACAGGGGAAAAGCACCATTTTCTTCCCTTCCTGATTCTTGGACTTGGTAATTCACTGAAATCCCCCCTATAGAAACATGTTGCCCAGTGCCTTGTACTCTCCACTGTGCTGGAATCAGGGAGGTCATTAAAACATAATCATCTTGAATTTTTGATGGTTCTAGCCCTGTTTCTGCTTTTATTATTCATGGTTTCAGCTTTGCAATAAAAAAATATGATGTCGGTATCTTGAGAGGGAATTTTGATGTCAGATTTGGTTTGCTAATAAATGGAACATATACCTAGAAGACAATAAAGAGTAGAATGCCAGTGGATCAAATCCCACTTGGTTTATAAAGCTAATAATTAGGTTCAGAACAGACCTTTTTTAATATTGTCATATAACTTTCACATGAATAGCACATTCAAAATTTAAGCAAACATTGAAGAAGGTGTGGCTCTGCTAATTTATTGATGCTCAAGGATTCTAGGATGATTTAGAACTGGAAGGGACCTGAGAGGGTATCAAGTCCATGCCTTCTCCCATTTTGCAGATGAGGAAGCTGAGTCCCAGAATGATGAATCAAGTTGCCCAAAGTCATATAAATAATACATGGCAGAAGTAGAATTCAAACCCTGGTTCTCTAACTCCAAATCCAGAAGCAGGAAGTGACTTTCCAAAGGTCACTCAGGTAGTAAATGGCAGAGATCAGATTCCAACCCAGGTTTTCTGGCTGTTGACAAGCAGTTGGTTTGCTGGCTTTCAGGGAGCAAAGAAAAGGAGCAGGAGGTGGAAGAAATCACAAGGGTACAGATTTAGAGCTCAAAGGCCATGAGTTAAATCCTCTCATTTTGCAGATGAGAATACTGAAGTCTAGGAAAGGAAAGTGACTTACCCAAGATGACCTAGCTAGTAAGGATCAGATCTGGATCTTTCACACCTTTGATGATTTTTAGCAGTCTACAGAAGACAGGTATTTCCTGCCAAACTCTATCTCCAAAACTTTTTTTTTTCTCTCCCAAACAGTGATTGTCATTTATCTGACACCAATGATGTCAACATCTCATTGCAGGAGTCAAAAGGTCCCTGTAACATGAAACAAAGCATGTTTCTCAAAGGTTTACATGAGAGAAGTGTCCAAAAGAGTCACTGGAAATGTTTTGGAAACCAAGCCATGATGGGCAGGGGATTAATGGAACTGGACATGCTCTGGGATGAGATGAGCTTTCCAATTGGGGCAGGGATATCGCATCTAAGCGCTGTGATACTGATGAATGAGAAGGTTAAAGACAACCCAGCAGTCTTGTTTGGACATCAGTAATTCATGGAGAAATGTGCTCTGGCTCCTGAATACTCTTGTGTACCTTTGCTTTAGGCATCTTCAAAATGTTCTATGACATTTAGAGTAAAGGAAGACATGTATGATCAGAATAGTTTCTATTTATGTGCCATTTGAAGATTTCACAAAGTACTTTCCTTATAACATATTGAGGAAGGTTGGGGAGAGAATTATTGCTTTCATTTTACAGATGAGGAAACTGAGGCTCTGAAAGATGAAATTCATAGAATGTTAACTCCTTCAGGGTAGGACTGTTATAGTAAATCCCTTCACAACCAGGTGCCAAGCTGCCTTTCCAGCCTTACGCATGACTCCTCTTCATGCCCTCTATGGTTCAGCCAAATTGGCCTTCTTGTGTATTTTACACACAATTCATTTCCCCTCTCCTCAGATTTCTATAGGCTGTCCATCCCTCCTTCCTGGAATACACTGCCTCCTTACTATACATCTTAGATTTTCTAGCTTCCTTCAAAGCTCAGCTCAAGCAACATGATCTACATGAGGCTTTCCCCACATTGGCTGATTCCCCCTCATTGGCTAGTATCTTCACTTCCCCTCAATTACCTTGTACTTATTTTTAAATGTATTTTTCATAGAAAGGCAGCAGTGGTGGAGTGCACAGAGTGCTGGCCTTAGAGCCAGGAATACTTGGTGTCAAAACCTGTGCCTGATATCTACTTGCTGGGTGATCTTGCTCAAGTCACTCAATTTCTCAGTGCTCTAGTCAATTCTCTAAGATTATAAGTACAAAGAAGGTGCTGGTCTCTATATGCAGAGGAGCTTTCCTTATCCAGGAGTTCCCTATACCAGTGAAATCATGGGTCACCTAGTCCTTATTTATCTAGGCATCAGGGTGGCACAGTGCGTAGAATGCTGGACTTAGAGTCTGGAAGATCCAAGTTTGAATCCTGGCCCAGACACTAACTGTATGATCCTGCACAAGTCACTTAGCCCTTCTGTGCCTCAGTTTCTTCATCTGTAAAAATGGGGATAATAATAGCACCTATCTCCCAGGATTATTGTGAGGATCAAATGAGATAACATATGTTAAGCACTTTGGAAATCTTAAAGTGCTATATAAATATAACTTTTGTTATTATTATTGTTATCCCTATATCTCATATATTCTTTGTGCATGTTGTTTCCCCTGCTAGAGTGTAAGCCCCTTGAGAGTAGGGACTGTTTCATTTTAGTAATTGTATCGCAAGCACCTAGTACAGTGCCTGAAACATAAACTCTTCACCTCTCCTTAGATTCCTTAGCTTCCTTCAAAGCTTAGCTCAAGTACCCCTATCTCCAAGAAGCCTTTCCTGACCCCTTCAGCTGCTAGTGTGTCACCTTATATATGTATATGTATACACACATATCCATCCACACACGTACACAATACACATATATACATGTATATACAAACAGACATGGATATATACATATGTATATATATGTATATATATATCTATATATCTATATATCTATCTATATATCACACTTATATGTGTACCTGTCTTTTCTTACAGACTGTAAGCTCTTTGAAGGCAGGGACTATTTTTTTTCCTTCTTTGCGTATTCCATCCTAATACAGTGGTGGTGGTTCTTATTAGACACTTAATAAATTCTCATTGGATTGGGTTGAATTTAAGTGACAAAAGCAAAATTCAAAGGGAGACCTTTGGGTTCCCAGTGGGGCTCTTTCCAATTGTCATAGCTGGATGAGGCATAAAGGAGCTAGGTTACAGAAAGAATCAAAGAGCCTAGTGTAGTGGAAAAAACACTGGATTTGGAGTCAGAGGACCTGGGTTAAAAGTGAGGCTCCATCATCTGCTATTTGCATGACTTGATTAGAGAGAAGATATACAACATTTACTACAGCTTACTACCCCAGGGGTAGCCTGGGATTGTGGATAATTAGAAAGAACTGACTTCCTCCCTCCTTTACACATTTGCTGGCTATGTGTCTGTGGAGAAGTTGCTGAATCTCTGTAAGCCCTAATTTCCTCATCTATAGAATGAAGATAACAGCAGTCCCTACCTTGAAGGATTAGTGTGTGGATCAAAGAAGATAATATTGGCAAAGCTTTTGGGAGTTACTACTGCTGCTGTTACTACTACTACTACTACTACTACTACTACTACTACTACTACTACTACTACTACTTCTATTACCTTTGTAACCTTGGGCAAGTAAACATCTCCTTCCTGGTTCCCATTTCCCTATCTGCAAAGTGAAGAAGGGAGTTGGACTTGATGACCTTTTAGCTTTGAATCATAGGATTGAATATGCTGATCTATTCTGGCAAACCAAGCACAATCATAGATTTATGGAAAGCACCTTAGGGGCCATTTAGTCCAACCCCCTCCTTTTACAGAAGGGGATAAACACCCAGAAAAGCAAATGACTCATCTAAAGTCACACGGCTAATGAGGCAGAGTTGGTTTTTTGATTTTAAAGCCAGTCCAAAAAAATCAAATCACATTGATGCATCCTCAATTGCCACCACAAAATATCTTTAAACAACCTGGATTTTAAAGTTGAATTTTTGGGGACCCTGATTAGCCCTCCAGACCAAGTATAGAATTATTCAGACTCTCTCTCTCTCTCTCTCTCTCTCTCTCTCTCTCTCTCTTTCACACACACTCTCTTCATCTTCCCCTTCCCTCTTTTTTCTTTTCTTCTTTTCTCTTTTTATTTGTAAGTCTCTAGAGCCAGGATTTGAAGTTGACTTTGAAATGCATATATTCGAACACACTACTCATCTCAAAATTGCAGATGTGATATTCTCACCAGCTGGTCTTTCAGCTGGGGGTTGGTTCACACCTGTTTCCTTGCCCCTTGAGCTCTTTTTGTGGCTGAATTAATAACAATAACAACAATTAAAAAAACACTATCCAGCAACTAAGAGAGGGGAGATAACACAATAAAGAAAAGGGTGTTTATTCCAGTCACATTAAATAAAACATTATTAATTGAAAATATCCACAGGCAAAAAAGTTCTTTTTTCTATAGAAGTTATGTTTTCTCATTGAAATTTTCAGTGGCTTTTGGCATGAAGATAGGAAAAAGCATAATTTAAAACCGAAATGTCAGCAGGAGCTCCTGTGATCGCTACAGCAAAATGAAGATGATATGTGATCAGCTTGGCTTGGAAAACATAGTGGCTAAGAATTCTTCCATGGTGATGTGAATAAATTTGCTGTCTAGTTCCTAAATTATATCCCTGGGAGGTGATGTTTTGGACCTAGGGTAGAAAACAAAAGTAGGAGTTGGAAAGAATTATAAAGAAAAAGACCCCACTCTTTTCTTTAGGGATATTGATACGTACTGTAGTGGATAGAGTTGGATTTGGAGTTAGGAAGACTTGGATTCAAATCTTATCTGTGATACTGATTAGCTGTAGGACCTTGGACAAGTCACTTAACCTTTCTATGCCTCAGTTTCCTCATCTGTAAAAAAAGGAGGTTGGCCTAAATGGCTTCTATCATACATTTAGTCTCTAAAACTATGAGCTGACTTCTCAGAATGCAGTTTGGTGTAGTGGAAAGAGCACTGCGTTACAAATCAGGGGGACTGGGTTCTAATTCTAGTTCTTTCTGCCAATTATGGAAGTGTAGAGGAAATAATACTGAATCTGGAGTCAGAGGATCCTGGTTTTCATTATGCCTCTGCTACTTCCTTACTGGGTGACCTTGGGCAAAACACTTCCTTTCTCTGTCCTTCAGTTTCCTCTTCTGTACAATGAGGGGGTGGACGAGAAGACATTTAGCTGTAAATATACCTGATTTGTATGACTTTGAGTAAGTCCAACAACAATAAAAAGAAGCATTTATGTGGTACATAAAGAGTTGTGAAGTGCTTCATATATGTCATCTCATTGTAGCCACACAATGACTCTTTGAGGCAAGTACTATTATTTTCCATGTTTCACAGTTGAGGAAGCAGACTGAGAATGGTTAGGTGACTTACCCAGGGTTACACATCTAGGAAGCATCTGAAGTAGTAGTTGAACTCATATCTTCTTCACTCCCAGTCTAGCACTTTATCCATTATGCCCCCTGGCTGCCAACAAAACTGAAAGGGGCATCAGAGATGAACTAGGGACCTCTTGATGGAATAAAAACTCTTGAAGGGTAGAGGCCATCTCATTTTTTTTTGTCTTTCAATCCCCAGTGTCCAGGAGTATCTGGCACATAATAGCAAGACACTGAGATGTTTGTTGAGTTGAATCTAGGTCATTTCACTTTTCTTTTTGCCTCAGCTGTTTAATAAAATAAATGGATTAGATGAACTTTTAGGTTCCTTTTTTGTTTTGCTCTAGAAGACTATGATAAATCTCTAATTAACTCAACCACAGAAAACACCTGGCAGCCACCTTGTGTTTGCTACCTGTGTGATCAGTCCAGGTATGGCATGGGGAAATGGAAAGAGTATTTGATTTGTAATAATAGCTGACATTTATATAAGCTCTTTAAGGTTTACAAAATGCTTCACATATGTTGCTTCATTTGATACACATAACAACCCTGTGATTTAGGCATTATTGGTATTATTATCATTCCTACTTTATAGATGAAGAAAAAGGCTTTAATAGGTAAAGTCACTTGCCAATGATCACACAGTAAATGTCAGAATGCTTTTCAAACCAAGGTCTCTTCTGACTTCAAGTTTACTGTTCTCTCTACTATACTGTATTATTTCTTAACTTTGAAACAGAGGATCTTGTTTTGAGGTCCAGATCTGCCTTTATTTATTTTTACCACTTTTGTTAACATCAGGCGCACTTTTCTGTACCTCAGTTCCCCATCTGTAAAAAGAATGGATTGGACTAGATCAACTCTAATGTTTCTTTGAGTGTGAAATCTTATGATCTTAGAGTTGATCAGATTACCAACAGTAGAGGTCTCCTGATGGTAAATAAGCCTCAGGCTAATGCTCCCGGTAGAGACTGCAGCTGATGAAAGCACAATCCCAATTGCACTACTTACATAAATAATCTCCCTTTGCCACGTATACATACCATTGCTCCCTCCACGCTGGTGGCAAAATATATTGACTTCACCTACACAGTGGGCAAGACTTTAGCCAAATATGAGTGGCTGTTTGTTTCCTGCCAGGCACCAGAAAACTGAAGCCCTTGAGTATAGTTCTTTTGTGAAATATGACAAATTTGAATAACTGACAGACACTCACATCCACACTCTCCTACAACTAATTATAAGCACTTCCAAAGTAGGTCAATCTAGTGGTACATTCAACCCAACCGGTTCTGTCTCTGACAGTCACATTACAGGATACACACACACACACACACACACACACACACACACACACACATACACACACACACACACACACACACACACACACACACACATATATATATATATATATATATATATATATAAAATTTGGGGGGAGGTTATGAATGCTCTCAAGGCTATCAATTTCAAAATGTTTCAGAGAGATTATCTTTACACAACCTTAGCTTGTCTTATACTGGTATTTGAGGGAGAGGTCAGCACCATGGCCAGGGGCAGCAGCCTTAGAGGTCAGTCCTCATGAGGGACTATTACTAGGCTGGCTGATTTTCCTGGCTGTTTGGATTGCTCAGGCTGGGAGAAGGATTCAGGTGAACCTTTTGGTTGGAAAAATTGTAGCGCATTATTTGTGTTTTTATTTTTACTGACATATGTATATATATATCTATATATATGTTACTTTAAAGTTTACAAAGTGTTTTACATACATTATATGCAATGTGGGATTTGGATGCAGAGGACCTGGAATCTTCTTCTTATTTATGTGACTTTGGGCACTTAAAACCTTTTGACTTCATTGTGCTGGCATTGGATTAGATGATCATTGAACCCCCTTTCAGTTTCAACTCTAGATATTATGATTTAATTTGAGCTTCACTAAACCTCCTTTGAAGTAGTTATCAAAGATACTATTGTTCCCAGTTTACTTATGAGTAAAATGAAACAGGTTAAGTGAATTGATCATAATCATACAGCTAGTAAATGGAAGAGGTAGGATTTGAACTCTGATCTTCCCAATTCCAGTTCCAGCACTCTATCCACCATGTAACCCTGCCTCTTCATGAGCACACTGTTTAGGTTGCCCATAGAGGAGTTTTCTTAATGTTAATCTATCTTTTCCCTGGTGCACTAAGTGGCAGAGAAGCAACCAGAGCAGATCATCTGTGTGTTTTAGTGTGACAGCACTTACTACTTTTCTCAGGTGGTAAGGGGTCAGTATTCCAATAGGGACAGAGTCTGTGATGAGAAGGCCTTTCTTAGGTAAGTTCACCTACATTTTTGATATGATGATTTCTTTGAGTCCCTGCCATATCTCTCTAAGGCACATGTTCAATATACCCTTGGCATGATGTAACATATAATAGATAATAAAGGTTTATCATCCATGAATTTATCTAAACTCTGAATCCCATGGTGCTTTGATTTTGAAAGACAGACTTTGACATCTAATCACCTTAAAAGTTTGTAAAAAGTTTAACTAAGACCACTGATTTTTCCTGGTGTACAAGCTGATTTGCCCTCTTAAAAAAGTCTCTCCACAAGGGCAGTTAATGTCTTATCTAAACTTTGACTCTCTCTCAATATAATGCTCTGTATGTGGCAGCCCTTTAATCAGTATTTGTTGAATGGATGAGTGAATAAAATCTAGTACATATCAGGTGAAAGGCTGTGTGGTATAATAGTTAGAGAGCTGTCTTCAGCTACAGGAAGACTTATTCAGATCCTGATTCTGACACATACTGATCCTATGACCCTGGACAAGCTATTTCACTTCTCAGTGCATTAGGTTATTCTCTAAGATTGAAGATACAGATGTGCATGGGCAAAGGGAATTCCTTCATCTGGGAGTTCCCTATAGCAAGAAATCACAGATTCCCTTCCTATCCCAACATTTCAGGAACGAATTTTCTTTACAGGATCTAGTTTCTTCTTACCCAGTCTCCAGGTGGCAGCTAGATGGTGCAATGGATAGAGTGCTGGGCCTATAGTCAAGAAGATTTATCTTACTGAATTAAAATATGGCCTCAGATACTTGCTGGCTGTGTGACCCTAGGCAAATCACTTAACCCTGTTTGTCTCAGTTTCCTCATCTGTAAAGTGAGCTGGAGAAGGAAATGGCAAACCACTTCAATATCTTTGCCAAAAAAACCCCAAATGGGGTCACAAAGAGTTGGAAATAACTGAAAAATGACTCAACAATAACCCAGTCTCTAAGAGCTTAAATCATAAAGCTCTGTATAAATTTATTTATATTACTTTTTCTAGAAGTTTGATCATGAAGGAGAGAAGAAACTCACAATCTAATGAGAGAAGATAATACATAAAGGAAGTCTCATCTTCATGTACAGTTTGTAGTTGATGAGAAAGGCAGGTAGTATTTAGGTTCCAGCAGTGTGAGTAAAATTTGTTTGGGAAGAGGATAAAATTGTATAAGCTGGTTCAGTAAATAGAGTATTTGGCTTGGAGTCAGGGAGACATGAGTTCAAATTTTGCCTCAGACACTAGCTCTAGGACCTTGGGCAAGTCCCCTTCTGAGCCTCAGTTTCCTTATCTGTAAAACAGAATAGAACACATCCTTTGAAGCTCTAAATCTATAAATTAAGATAAATTCATTGTCATAGAAAATTGTGCAAATGCATATCAGCCATTCAGTTTATAAGGAGTGCTAATCTTAGAATGATTCTGCATTCCTCAGGTCACTTGTATGACTAAATAGATTGCCCCCACTTTTCATTCACTCTTGGAGCCACTGAAATGAAGGCTTTTGGAAGCTAAGTGATGGAGAATGACTCACTATAACATGTACTTAATTAGGGCCATAAAACAGGTGAAATGTATAGTCTGATCTAAGTAAGGGTTTTAGGAAGAAATAATAATTTTCCTCACTCTAAAGCTAATGCATCTAGGCTAAGGGTATTTGAATGATCACAGTATCCCTACAAAGGAAAACCAGTTGGTGGATAGTAATCTGACCAATGGCCAGTGAAATGAAAGGTGTCTATACCTCTTGGAAGGCAATCTGAACAATGTCTCACTTACTTCCTTTGGCCTGTGTTTCTAATATTGATTTTTCATTCAAACACACTCACACCTGGATCCTTAAATGCCAGGCTTTCAG